TCAACTCACGAAAGGATCAGGAAACTGCAAGCTGGAGAACCTTTGTCCACAAGGGAAAAAAAAGTGTTTCCTTGCATTCCTCACTTTTTGTTTTGTTTTGTTTTGGCAATGGGGCTAAGTGACTTGCCCAGGGTCACACAGCTGTAAGTGTTATGTGTCTGAGGCTGGATTTGAACTCAGGTCCTTCTGAATTCAGGGCTGGTGCTCTATCCAATGCACCACCTAGCTGCCCCCCATTCCTTACTTTTAATGAAGGCATTTAGTTTAATATAATGGCGTGTTTGCATGAGCTACAAGTCACCACCAAAAGCCTACTCATGAGAGAAACTCTCCAGAGCATTTACAGTATCTGTCCCAGATCACTGAAAAAATAAAGTGAGAAATGAAAAGCAGAACTTGACCTAACCTTAAAAGTCACCTTCACAAATGTTGTGACTTCAACTTTTGCGCTACTCCCAAAGAAGAGTTTCCTGACAGTTTGTAAACTGCAGTAATTTGTTTGCAGCTGAGAATTTGTAAGACTTGGCCTTTTTCTGGGTGGGTGTGGCCACGAAACAAAGACATCTTTGTAGGCAAAATGCAGAACTCAACGCAAGCTGTCCAGCATTGAGCCAAGGTGGGAATCATCTAAGGAGAATAGGCAGTTGTGTTCTTGTCAGTTCAATAAGTTGTGTGTAAGGTAATATGGTTAGATCTGTAATAAAGTTGATCTAAAAAGATCTGATTTTACAAAAACCAGCCTTGTATAATTAGACAGCATTAGTACAATACTTTTTTAAAAAAACACTATTTTAAAAGTTTTACTGCCAATATTCCGCCATAGTTTCGTTTAAAGTACATTTTCCTCTAATTCAAGAAGCTTGATGTCTAATGACCTAGCAACCAGCAGTAGCATCTCCAGTAATAAGGAGCTGATCATCACACTGTACTTTGCCCTGGTCTGACAACATCTAGAATATTGTATTCAGTTCTGGTTGCCACATTTTAAGGAAGGGATCGATAAATTGGAGAGTACCCGGAGGAGGACAAGTAGGGCAGTGAAGGGCTTCAATTTCTTGAATACGAGAAGCAGTAGAAAGGAATTGGAATGCTGAGCCTGGAGAAGAGAAGGTCTCTAGGGACACTGCAGCCATCTTCAAATATTTGAAGGAAGGTTTAGACAAGTCCTGCTTAGCCTGAGAAAACAGAGCTAGAAACAATGGGGAGAAATGGCAAAGACGCAAATTTGGACTTGATGTCAAACAAAAATCTTCCTAAAAACGAGGACAATTCAAAAGTAGAAAGAACTGTCTTGGGAATTAATGAGTTCTCTGATTGGAGGTCTCATAGCAGAGTCTAGATGACAACTTGTAAGTTATTTTGTTTCAGGTAATGTTTGTGCTAAATGACTCCTGAGGTAACTGCCAACTCTGAAATTCAGTTGTTTCAACAGTAATTTGGATTACCATTAAGGTCAAGAGACACCTGAGTTTGAATTCCTGCCAAGATTTATTAGCTAGGTGCCATTCATTAAATTGTAAAATTCTCCATTAGGTTGTAAGTTCCTTGAGGGCATGGACTGTCTTTTGCCTCTTTTTGTATCCTCAGTGCTTAGCACAGTGCCTGGCATATAGTAGATGATTAATAAATGTTTATTGATTGATTGCTTTACAGTTTACAAACACCTTCCTCACAGCAGCCCTATAAGTTAGAAGTACAAGTATTGACATCCTCATTATTCAGCTCAGAACACTGAGACACAGTTGCCTAGGGTTAGCCATCTAGTGAGCTCTAAAGCAAGGATTTGACCCAGATTTCTCCCAGAAATGCTTTGCCCAGGAATGCTCTTTTTGTTGTCTCCATAGGCTCTTACAAAAAAAAAAAAGCATTTATTCCTTCAGTATTTATAAAATGTAAGCGCTCATAACTACTGAGCACTACAACACACACACACACACACACACACACACACACACACAGAGTCACTCACTCACTCACGCACTCACACAGAAGACACATAGTCCCTGCCGTTATGGAGTTATACAATCTGCTGAGGGAGGGTGAGATACATAAACCTAGCAGGTAGAGTTGAAGAAGACCTTTAATTCTTTTTTAAAAATCTATTTGTGTTGATTCTTTTTGCTGTGATGTCACATTCATTTCCAAATCTTTTCCTTTCCCTCATCCTTTAACCAGTAAGCATTCCCTTGTAGTTTAGATTTATGAAGAGGTATGTTAGAAATAACCTGTAGTATAAGCGGCATAATTAAAAGAGCAAAAGAGAAGGTAAATTCAGTGATCTTTTGTATTTTGGTAGCTTTATACTTGACATTAAATTAATTAATTGAAATTTGATTGCTAGGATAAGGGAGGGTAGAGGAAAGTACCATTGGTAATGACTTTATGTGAGTCTGTTCCAGAAGACATCATGTAAGCTACCTCAGTGCATGGGTTATTGTGGTGTATCTTTTCACTTGGTAAATATTAAAATAACGGTGCCAGTTTTTGAGATGAGCTTGGAACCAGGCTTCCAGACCACTCCCAGCCATCCTTATGCCATCCTGTGGCACTTGGATTCTCCCCATCCACTTTTCAGCGCTCTTCATGTGTTGCCATACCCAGTTAAGATGTAATGCCCTACTTCAGGGCAGGGACCGTCTTGCTGGCTCATTTTCATATTCCTAGCACTTAATACAGTGCCCGGCACATAGTAAGCCAAGCAATTCTAATTGTTAATTTGTTGGTGCACATCACTGTAATGTACATACATAGATAAATACTCTGTTTCTCTGTGATACAAGGTAAAATTCAAAAGAGTATTAATGGAAGTACAGTGTGAGAGGCAGCAGAATAGAGTGAAAGCATGGGAGTTAGGGTCAGGAGACACCTCATTTTGAATCCCTGCCAAGATTTATTAGAGAGTTGACCCAGGGCGAGTCACTTGCCCTCTCTCATCTGTACAATGAAGTTGATATGAATTGTATTACCTGTCTCACAGAGCTGTGAGGAAAGCCCTGCATGAACTCTGAGATGCTAAATAACTCTGAATTATTGCTATCATTGATCAGAGGAGGGAGAGGAAATCCATAGTTGAAATTTCAGCTTCATTGAAGAGGTAGTATTTTAGCGGGGCCTTAAAAAATGGGTATGAATTGGACAGGCAGAGGAGGGAGTGGCACACAGAAGTAAATGAATACCAGGAGAGGAGTTAGCATAAGGGAGCCATTGCCTTGGGAAAGCATGGGAAGTGCTCTGGAGAAGAGTAGGGATTCATTCTGGGAAAACAAGTACCAGTTATCCACTTTTGGCCCAACACAGGTATGTTTCCTCCAAGAGAACAGGGAAAGATAAAGCTATAAGAAGGTGTCAGGGTCAAATTGTGGATCAATCAAGTTGGTCAGTTAATTGATTGACTTTTGTCCATATGTGAAAAATATTCCTTAAAAAAGAAATAAGAACCATTGAAAAAAAGTAGAACATCAGTTGTCTTTAGCAATTCCCCATTAGTTTTAGGATAAAAGACAAACACCTCTATCTAGCATTTTTTTAAAAAAGGTTTTTATTGATTACATTTATACATTACATTTACAGATTACTCCTGCTTTGTGAAAGGTCCCTTGTAATAAAGTAAAACTATTAAGTAAAACTAATAATACTGGGATCCCATCTGAAATCTCTAGTACCCCCTCACCTATTTTTTAAAGTAACAGAAATTTATTTTCTTTCCCTCCCATTCCCACCCCATTTAAAAAAAAAAGGAAAACAATTTCTTGTAATAAATATGCATAATCAAGCAAAACAAATTCCCTCATTGGTTCAACTCTCTTTCTCTCTCTCTCTCTCTCTCTCTCTCTCTCTCTCTCTCTCTCTCTCTATATATATATATATATATATATATATATACACACACATAGATATGATATGTGTGTATATATATAATATGTATATATAATATATGTGTGTGTATATATATGTACATATATATACACACACATATATAATATGTATATATAATATATATGTGTGTGTATATATATATATACATATATATACACACACACACATATACACACATGTATGTATGTATGTATGTATGTCTCATTCTGGACCCTAAATGCAGAATGAGGCATATCATCCATCACTTCTTTGTCATGGATAGCATGTTTAATCATTGGTCTTCTGGAATCATGAATGGTCATTGTACAGATCATACTTCTTACAGCTTTCAAAGTTATTTGTTTTTACAATGCTTTTGTTATTACGTAAATTATTCTCCTGGATCTGCTTATTTCATTCTTCTTCAGTGTATAAAAAATCTTCCAAATTGTGTATGTTTACAATATTGATGTTATATCATTATATGCATTGTACTGGTTCTACGTATTTCCTTCTTCATTTGTCCATATAAATCTTTCCAAACTTCCTGAAATCATCTATTTCCTGATTTCTTGCAGCATATAGTAATCCATCACATTCAAGCTCTCTCTAATCTTTTCCAGCCTGCTCTTCTCCCTTTATTTTATATTACTGTCTTTCACGTATGCTAGGTTTTCCCCAAACTGGCTGATTACCCATCCCTGAATTCAGTGTTCCTTTTCCCATCTCCATACTTTGTTCAAGTCGCTCCCAGTCATTGGAAAGCATTGTCTCCTTGCCTCTATGTGTTTTAATCCCTACGTTCTTTCAAGGCTCTGCTCAGTTGTAAAGCCTTTCCTGATTGCTCTGCTGTTAGTGATCTCTTCGACCACCAACCATTATGCAATATTTACTTTTGTGTATGTTGCGTTCTCTACTAGAACGTAAGCTCCTCGAGATTGAGGACTGTTTTGTTTTGTCCTTTATTCTCCGGTATCCTGCATGTTATTTTGTGCATAGTTTGTGCTTAGTAAATGTTTGTCTAATTTAACTGGGACCTTTGCAACTCTGCTGCAAACTTTAGTCAGGTGTCAGCCTCTGTGGAGTGAGATCAGTGACTTATAACACATTACATTATTTACCTATGTCCCTTTTCTCCTCCACAGTGTCTAATAAGCATGCTTTTGTGGATAGCAACCTTCTCTACCAGTTTAGAATGAATTTTCGTCGGAGAAGAAGGCTAATGGAACTGCTCAATGAACGATCTCCCTCCTCCCAGGAAACCCACGATAGCCCCTTTTGCTTGAGGAAACAGAACAGTGACAACCGAAAACCCACCAGTTTTATGTCAGGTAACTTGGTTAAAATGAGTCATGTCATTTATTTGGCTTTGGAAAAAAGAAATATCTGAGAACATCTCGCTACTGGCACTCAGATCTCCGACAACCTCACCTATCTAGGGTTCACTCAAGAACTAAGAAGCAAGTGAAAAAGCTCCCAGCAGCAGAATAAATGTCATAAAGCTCATGCATTTTCCTTGTGGGAGGGCCTCAAAGGCCTCCCATAGGTCCTATTTGCTTGTGGTTTACACAGTTTGACTAATAAGTTTGGCCATCTAGTTTCTAAACTATAGCAAATTAAAGGCCAGAAGAGCAGCTACTCTGTCCAGGTACCAGGACAATGATGAGGTGTGACAGCTGAATATAAGAGAGTAGGCTGAGAATCCTGATGCTTTTCTATAAAGCAGCAGAGCTCTCTGGGGCCTTTTAGTATATGAGCCAACATCCTTAACACACCAGTGTAGTCCCTGAGGGCATTGTTGTTTTCATCTATTGGTCCAATCCTGTTATTTCATTGGGCTCCCAGGGTGGAATCTCCCTCCACTGATGCATGTACAGGTATCTATATAACTGTTATGTGCAGACATAGAAAGTTTTCCTGGGCCCTGAGTGTGGTTTGCCCATGGGCGTATGGAAAGTGTATATTGGATATAGACTTGAACCCAGTTCTTTCCAACTACAAGCCAACCATTTATCTACTAGGCCATACTGCAGTTTTATGATGTTATATAATTATTGATGTTCACAATGTCAATTACTCTCCCCCTGAGATCAATGATGACAAGTTCACACAACTCATTTTCCCCCATAAGACTGCATTTTGATCCAATTATGAAATATTATCTTCTTAATTGACATAGACTTCATTTTAGTGCAATGGGAAACTGATTTCCTAAGTGGCTTCAAATAGCTGATTGTCTTCTCATGACTGAGAATCTCATTCCATGGTGGAGATCAAAAACAGGAATGGAAAACTAGTGAAGTCATCAAAGATTTAATTTCAAAAGCTTTGTCATGTTTTGCATGGCAAGCTTCTTCTCAGTGGAAGTGGGTGGCTAATCATTGAATCTTCAGTGAGCTGGCATTGCCGCTGTGCATTCGTTATCATTATTAGCTCATTAATATTGTAGCCAGCACAGTGACCACCACACTGTTACTGCATCTATAGCTTATTTTCATCTTTTAGGGAGCCTCACTGCTCATTCTTACTAGAGCTTGTGGCCTGCAACATGGAAGCAAATGTCTGTTGACTCCCAGCTTTCCTGACTAGCATGCTCCAGGTAGCGGGGGACTGACTGCAGCGGCTCTGTTTGTTTTCTGGTTTTTCACAGTGAGCCCAAGCAAGGAGATCAAGATCGTGTCTGCAGTGAGAAGGAGCAGCATGAGCAGCTGTGGCAGCAGCGGTTACTTCAGCAGCAGCCCAACCCTCAGCAGCAGCCCCCCAGTGCTCTGCAACCCCAAGTCAGGTAAATGTCCCACCTCCTTTTGCAGCCCTCTCTGTAAACCCCGCCTCCATTTTGAATGTGTAGGAGTGCCCTGGAGTTTGACTTTTCCTGACTGTGAACAAATGAGGAGGTCCTTGCTGGTCCTCAGGATAGATCATAAGCTCCTTGAGGGCAGGGACTTTCTTTTGCCTCTTTTTGTATCCCCAGCAGTTAGCACGGTGCCTGGCACATAGTAGGTGCTTAGTAAATGTTTATTAAATGATTACAATAAAGTAGAGATGGGATTCCATGCAGCCTAGAGTGAATTGGCCCTGGAGTTAGTTCCTATGAGGACCCTGGGTGGGTCCTTCCTGATTGTAGCCTTTGAGAAACTGATTAAACAGATAATGGAGAAACAGAGAAGAGTAGAGAAATAGAGTGGTATAATGGAAAATGCATTAGGTTTGGAGTCAAAGGACTTGGGTTCAAATCCCATTTCTGCTCTGTGTGACCTTGAGCAAGTCATTCAGTTTTCCGGCCTGAGATCTTCCTCTGTAAAATGAGGGAGTTGGATTACATTGTCTATTGAATCCCTTCTGGTTCTAAATCTATGATACTATTACTATGAATGAGCTTTTATAATTTTTTCAAAAATAGATTTTATTATTTATATGAAATTGTTCAGAAGTTGCTTCAGGATTATATTGTTGATTATACACACATATGGACAGGTGCAGTGGATAGAATGCTATTTTTACTTAAGGCCTTCTGTGTGTACAAAGTAAAAATCTGATCTCAGACACTTACCAGCCGTGTGACCTTGAGCAAGTCACTTAACCCTGCTTGCCTTAGTTTCCTCATCTCTGAAAATGAGCTGGAGAAGTAAATGGCAAACCACTCTAGTATCTCTGCCAAATAAACCCTAAAATGGGGTCGTGAAGAGTCAAAGATGACTAAACAAGGCATACTCATAAGAGTAGATACATCTGCAGATATCTGGATTTTTTTTTAACAATGCAGGATGAACACATGCATTCCTTAATCTGTGATAGCCTGAAGAGCAAAGTCATTAATTGATCAATAGTTATTTATTAAACTTTTTTTATGTTTCTGGCACTGTTCTTGGTGGTCACATGAAGACAAAAGTGAAGCAGGTTCCTGTCCTCAGAGGCTTACATTCTATTGAGGGAAACATGCACAAAATAAACACAAAGTACATTTTGTAGGGCAGGTGGGAGATAAGAAAAGACTTTATGTAGAAGGAGGGAATTGATCAGTTTTGAAAGAAACAAAGGAGACTAATAAGTATATAGGCCTCAGTTATTTCTGCTAGTTCTGTTCAACAGACATTAAATTACGATGGTGTATAGAACACCGTGCTAGCTGCTGGGTGGGTGGTGGGGGTATGACAAGATCCTTGCCCACAAAGCATTTGGGAGCTTGTAATACAATTGAAAGAGATCTGGATTTGGAAGAGCTGGGTTTGAATTCTGCATCTCTTACTGTCTACCTGGATGACCTTGAACAAGTCCCTTAATTTTGTCAGGCCTCAGTTTCTTCACCTGTAAGATGGAGTGGTTGCATTAAATTATCTCTAAAGTCCCATTCAGGTTGAAGGTCCCCTAAAGAGATAATCAGTAGGAATGAAACAAATCTGCCCAGAGTTTTCCTTTCTCTGGGCTGTAGTGGTATCCAAGTCTTATAGAGAAAGAAATTAAAAAAAAAAAAGACAGAAAGTCCAAGTGACCTCCTTCAGCAACTTGGATTTTTGCCTTCACAAAATGTCAGACCCTCTTCAACTCTTAGTGTGGCCTGCATAGGCAATAATTAAATTTCTAAGAAGAGAAGCATGGTTGCCTTCATGGTGAATAAATGATTTGTTCATAAAATGATAGAGGAAGAAGCCAGCAATTGAATTATTTTAAAGAACATCAGAGAATTTTGAGGAATGCTCTTCATGCCCATAGCTGGCAAACAGCCATATTATTTGGGGCTAAGAGCAGAGCAGAGAAAGAAATAAAGAAGGCTTTATTAGGCTACTGAAAGAAATTAAGGAAAGCTGTTGGAAAGTAGAAGAAGCCTGCCCAGGGAATCTAGACAAGGCAGGGGAACACAGTAAAGCCATACAATCCTTGGCATAATTCTGAAGTCAGCCTCTGTTGCCCTTCAGTCTCTGTTTCTGCATGGCCTCCAACCCACTGCATTTTTGGCATCCTCCCCCTCTTACTACCCTGAAGAATGCCCAATCCCTTCCAGTAGACCAAAGGTTCTTAACTTGGGGTCCATGAGCTTTTTTAAAAAAATAGATATTTTGATAACTCTGTTCAATAGAATACCTTTCCTTTGTAATCCTGTGTATTTTATTTATATATTTTAAAATGTTTTTCTTAAAAAGAAGTTTGTTGGTTTCACCAGATTGCCAAAGGGGATTCATGACACAAAAGAGGTTAAGAACTCCTGCTCTAGATCTTCTCCCCTAAACCTCAAAAACAAAACTTTGCATACACAGAAGGCCTTCAGTAAGTGTTGGTTAATTGATGAAAGCTTTTGTCCCGCCCCTCAGGGCCCTGCCAGGTGATAGGCTGGTTTGATCATCTGATTCCTGTTACAATATTAATGGATGATAGTGACTTAATACCTTATCCTTTCCCTCCCACCCCAAGATAGCTGCTACATTCAGTTTCTTAGTTGAAAGCAGTGATTGTTTTAGGAATTCTTAAATCACTTATCATAATGGATCATTGGCAGAATTTGATATGCCAACTCACATTACCTAGGCTCTAATGTATTCTGCCTGTGCATATGGCCAGCCCAAAAGGTAGGGTTATTAACTGACCTTGTTTGGAGGCTGACGTGGACCAAATGTATAGAAAGGAGAATCGTGCTGAAAGTGACACAGTTATGAAGGTGGATCAATATGTAAAATTTCTGAAGAAGAGAAAGACATCACAGGGAGGTGGAAAAAAATCTCAGGCCTTGCTGATGCTAAAAAAGGCAACCAAGAGAACATTGTTAACTATTGGCCTATATGCCTGTTCTCCGTGCATGTAAAATCTTTATGAAAGTTATCTATGTACAAACTGAGTACATATTTGATGAGAGTATTAATGAGGAGTATGCAAGCTTTTGCAGGTGATACTCACCGAGAACCACATCTTGACCACTTCACAATTGACTGAATAATATAGGACTATAAGATCTTACTGTGTTTATTATTTGTTGATTATTCTTAAAAAGCATATAATTTGATAGAGCAATATGATATCTTACAGGCTTTTTCAACAAAAGATCTCTCGTATATGCATTAAAAGCGTTCAAGATTTCTTGAATGTTATAACAATATATAACTCTGTTCTGTCACCATCTGATCCTTAGAGATATATATCTAGACAGATATAATAGATAACCCTGTTCAGTGACCTTCTGATCATAACATCTGGTGAGGCATAAACCAGGAAGATGTGTGCCAGCCAGAGGTGTTCACCATCATGGATTAGAAAGCTCCAGTGCAGAGTCCAAGTTGAAGAGGGATTCCCTATGGACGGTGAGATCCTCCAGATGTTCCTGATTTTACAAGATATTGTGTTGACTTCATCAAGCCCAGGAACAATGAAGAGCCTCCTGGAAGAGATCTGTCATCACTCAAAAGAGTTTGGCTTGCTTATCCACGTAGAAAAGAAAGATCAAAGGGATAAAGAATGTCTGTTGCCCAGAATACAACATGCATTTGGATGGACACCCAGTGGACCTTGGCCATCACTATGTATGTCTGGAACAGACAGTACATATGGATGTTGAATTGGCTCCAGAGTTGAAAAGGGGGAGGGGGAGAGTTGTTGTAATTGCCTTTGGGAAATTGCAAGACTCCCTCCCTTAATAACCCCAAGATTTTCATGAAGCCTAGCAGCAGCTAGGAGGCATAGTGGATAGAGCCCTGGGCCTGGAGTCAGGAAGATCTGAATTGAAGGTTGGCCTTGGATACTTACTAGCTGTATCCCTCTAGGTAAGTAATTTTACCTGTTTGCTTCAGTTTCCTGGACAAGGGGAGCCGTTAATAGCACCTACCTCCTAGGGTTATTATGAGGATCAAATGAGATAGTAATAGCACAGTGCTTGGTACATCATAGGCACTTAATAAATATTTGTTCCCTTCCCCTGACATCCCCTTAAAAGCAAAGGCCCATTTTAAAAATCTCAGCATTCTGGGGTAGCTGGGTGGCACAGTAGATAGAGCCCCGGCCCTGAAGTCAGGAAGACCTGAGTTCAAATCCGGCCTCAGACCAAACACTTGACACTTACTAGCTGTGTGACCCTGGGCAAGTCACTTAACCCCAATTGCCTTAAAAAAAAAAAACACCAACAAAAAAAAAATCTCAGCATTCTGCAGGTGTTGCTATATGGCAGTATAAGAGCTTCAAAGGTTTTAAAATGAATCTCACACAAAGAATAAGCACAGAGTGGGTGGGAACAGACTGCTACATTCAACCAAAGAGGAAGGACAGGCATAGGAAATGTCCTCAAGGAATTGTATGGCAAGAAAAGAAGATGGGCTGGTCAAATGGCAAAGGCTGATGGGCTCCATGTGAGCAGCCAGAGCAGTCCATTGTTTTCCTTGGGTTATTGGGAGAGAACAAGGAAAACCATTAGCACGTTGGGTGGATTTCCTGGGACAAATTTATTGTTGTTAACAATAGCAATAGCTAACATTTATGTAGCACTTCATCCTTTTTTATCCTTACAACGTAAGATCACAATAAGGAATAAGATGTGCTTATTGTGCTGATTTTACAGATGAGAAAACTGAGTCTGGGAGGTTAAGTGATTTGTATAAGATCACAGAGCTAGTAAATGGCTTCCTGATTCCAAACCCAGGGCTCTATCCATTCATTATGTGGCCTCTTTGCCTCTGGGGGGACATAGACAAGGGCCAGACAGGATAGGCATAATTGGACAGGTTGTGATTTGGATCACTGGAGGGACCTCGAGAATCAATGAGACCACAAATTCATTTGAGTATTCTTAGTCACTTGGTAACAGACTCAGTCATTTGTACCAGTTAAACTAGAAATGCTGCCAGTACCCTCTAAATGTCCTTTCTAGGGAAAAAGCAGCCCCTTATCCAAAAGTGATGAGATCACAGATTCATTTGATTATTACCTCTGTCAAGAACTTTAACCTTTAACCTCTTTGGGTTTCAGGTTTATGATCTGTAAAATGAGGGGATCTCTTGTGTCTTTTAAATGTCATGATTCTGTGATGAGCTGGTCAGCAAGGTGGGAAATTCACCCCCAAAATGTGCATAACCCTCAATACAGATTTCATATACATATATATATATATGCATGTATGTATGTGTATATACATATATATATTATATATATATATGTATGCATGTATGTATGTATACATATACACATGTCAATACAGGTAATGCACATAGACTTATCAATCAGTCAATAATGTAGGACTGGGAGGATAGTGTTACCCCTGACAGTAATAGAGAAAGTTAAAGGTGGGGAGAGGTTAGGGGGAAAGATAATGAGTTTAAGATGTCTACTGGACAGTCATTTCAAGATGTTTGAAAGGCATTTGGAGACTCAAGACTGGAAGTCGGTAGAGAGGTTAGGGCAGCATAGGTAGATTTGAGAATCACCAATATAGATGTGGCAATGAAATCCCTGGGAAGTGATGAGATCACCATTTAACTGGACTTTATTATGTCCCCTGGTACATATGGATGGTCCTAAGCAGGTGTAGAATAAGCACCATTATGTATGGTCTATTTTAGTTTTTCAGGGAACCAGGTGTAAAAATTCACTAGATGGGCTTGAAAGTTCAGCTCACCAGCCTTCTGCCTGGCCTTTGGATTTCTGCACCTTTACTTGGGAACAGAACACGCATAGTGTTGTTTGACAGGGGAAGAAGACAACTTGAGCTGTTGAAAATGGATCCATCAGATCAGAAGCTTAATTCTGTTTTGTAAGCATATTAAAAATTTAATAGCTAACATTTTATAGCACTTTATCTTATTTGATCCTCACAGCAGCCCTGTAAGGTAGGTGCTCTTATTAGCCTTCTTTTATAGATTTATGTCTTTTGTGCCTTGAAGAGTAAATAAAAGTAAACTTAATCACCAGATAAAAACCTGGCATTTTACTACCCTGGCCAAACATTTTACTGTTCTGACAGTGGGCTGTAAAATAAGCTTTATTTTCCTAAAGTTTTGAAAATACCAGTAGAGTTACAGGAGAAAATGTGTAGCTAACCAAATTCATCACAGGTTAAACCGACTTAATTCCTTATTTATTGACTGTGATTTGGAAGTAATTCAGATTCTCCAAGAGTCAATAATTTCAGTAATCTAGATTTTTATTTAATTTGTCCTTTCAGATATGCACATTTTATCCAGTAGCACGTGGAGGGGAGGGGCGGGAGTCCAATGGACTTTGATTTTTCTACAGGGGATGTATGGGAGTATCCTTGTTGGTACTTCCTAGTATCAGTAAGTTAAAAAAAAATAGAGTTGAGCTAACAATGAAAAGAGAACCCTATTGCCAATAGGCCCTGACTACAAAAGTCATTGAGAATCCCTCTGCAGTATCTGGTTTCTTAATCAGCAGAATGCCGCTAATAAGTTAGGAGGAAGGAAGAAGTGGGTGGGATTTGAGGCCCAGATAAAAATGTGCTGAATATTTTACCATTTAAAAGGAAAGGCTTCAAGAAAAATTAGGTGAACTTATTAGCTTGTTTTGAATCTTTCTGGTTGCATTAAGCAAGAGGATGGCTGGGGTATTTTAAAATTATTGTTCATGTTGCAAGTTTTTTATGAATGAACATGGTCTGTCAATGTTCCTCTGAGTTAAGCTAATTCAATTTAATTCCACAAAAAATTATTAAATGTTATGTTCCAAGCATAGCACTTAGCACAATGCCTAGTACATAGTAGGTATTAAATGCATATCGACTCGACAAGGTAAAGGGATACAAAGACAAAAAAATACAAAATACATAAACGATGAATATATAAATATTTAAAAGTCTCTGCCCTCCAGAAGCTTACATTCTACTGAGAAAAGGAAATATAGTATGTTCTATCAAATTGATAATAAATTTTAGTAAAATTAGAGTAAAATAAATACCAAGTAACCTTAACAGAGAGGGTATGCCAAAAACTGGACATTTGGAAAGGCCTCACATGGGAGGTGGCAACTGAGCTGAGCTTTATAAGGAAGCCAGAATTTCTAGGAGAAGGAATTGGGAAGGGAATGCATCTCAGATATGGGGTACAGTTAAGTGGGAGATGGAAGGCTATATATTGAAACCAGTTAACTGGTCGGTTTGGTTAGAATGGGGAATACTGGAAAGGAGGTAACATATAATAATACCAAAAAGTTAGATGGGAGCCAAATTGTGAAGTTTTAAATGTGAGATTAATGATTTTGTGTGATGATTTTGATCCTAGAGGAAATAAGGAACCACTAAAATTTTGAGAAGGAAAGTAACATGATTAGATCTGTGTATTGGAAAAGGAAGAGATTAGAAGCAGAGAGACCAGTTAAGAGACTTGAAAAAATTCAAGCCAGGGGTGATGAGAGCCTGAGCTAAGGTAGAGGGGTGTTTTTACTTTTTACTTCTCTCTGTCCTCATTCAAGAAAGATACCCAAACTAGAAGCAACAAGGCTGTTTTCCTATCTCTCGCTCTCTCAGGAACAAGTTGCCAATGCTGACATGCAGCTCAAAATTCTCAAAGTTTATTCTCGTTCTGAGAAATCCCCAGTTTTATCTCTGTCACTTATGAGCAAGAGAGATAAAATGGAGAATGAGATATTCCCAAATAGTTGAGCATTTGTTTTAGAGCACAAAAATTGAGCCTTGCCATATAGCATTTAGAAATATTTGTGAGTTTAGATAAGTAATTTCATCTCTCTCTGGACTTCATTTTCTTCAACTGTACAGTGAGGAGGACTGGATCATTTCTAGGATGCCTTCCATCTCTTAAAAAAAAGTTCATGATTCTATAATATATGCCATTTTCTTATGATATCATATGGTAAATATCATTAAGGGCTTTTTGGGGTATTCTCAATATTTTCATGGAACTGAAGAAGAAAATGTTGCAATAATTAAAATAATCAAGTCGTGATTGAATGACAGGCCATCCCAGAGTCTATTAAAAGAGGAAACAGTGGGATAAGTAGGTAGTTGGGTGTTATCTGACTTTTTTTAGAGTAGCTGAAATTTTCAATATAATGAGGAAAGGGAGGAAAACCCATTCTTGAGTAATTATTGATCAAGAGTACAGCCACAGTGATACACTGTGTCTTCATCCAGGTACATATAGTAGCTGGATCATTGGCACATCCTTTGAATAAGGAAGGCCTTTATAACTTGGTTCAATATCAAATATTCATGAAATCTCAAATTAAAAAACCGACAAAGCCTGAGATCTGGAAAAAATAACAAAGTACATTTTACATGAGTTTTGTGAAATATTTGCTTCTTTAAGCTTATATTAAATAACCTATGTCTGTTTTCACAGTGTTAAAGAGACCAGTCACTTCTGAAGAACTCCTGACACCTGGGGCGCCATATGCAAGAAAGACTTTCACTGTAGGTACTTTAGTTATTTTCCTGTGCCATTTGGTGTATGGATTGTAAACTGCTGTGAAAGTGACTTTCTGATTTTGTTTTGGTATAATGATTACATGTATAAATGAGTTAACATGTAAAGAATTTGGTAAGCCTTAAAGTGCTAGTATTATAATTATTAATATGGTATTATATATTAATTATATCCATATTTGTAGTAATTATAATTACTAATATATAATTATATATAACCATAATTAGAAATAATTATGTAACAAAATATGTTGATATTTATATATTATTATATTTCATGTAAAATATACAAATAATTATAAAATATAATATATAATTGTGATGGCTAATATATTAAATATTAAAAAATTCTTGGTCTTTGGGCATTTGCATCACAAATGTGTTCACAGAAAAAGGAACTAAAAATGTTGCAATTATACTGGCATTGTTCCATGTTTCCATGTGTTCTGTTCAATGTGTGCTATTAATCTAAAAAAAAAAAGCACTAGCCAGACATGATTACACTTGAATTACAAATAGTACAATCCTCCTGAACTGAAGTTAAATTCTGAGAAAAATCTAGACGAATTAGAGGGATCAGTATGGGAGATTATCAAGGAAAGAAGAAAGAGCAGAGATAGACTGTACTGTATTTATAAAAACATGGCGCTAGCAAAGCAGAGTTGAATATGGAATCAGAACACATTAGTTTGAATCTTCCTTCTGCTACTTACTACCCGTGTGACCGTAAGTCAATTAATTTTTTTGTCCCTCAGTTTCCTCACCTACAAATGAGGAGGTTTAACTAGATGATCTCTGAGGATCTTTCTCAAGTGATTATATCTTGAGTCTATGAAGGGAAACAGTGCTTTTGATAATGTAGCTTTACCTTAGTTACATTCACCAGACTATCACACTGAACTCAAGCAACCACAGATGTTAGGAAACATTTCCTAACAAATAGAAATATCCTAAAATGGAATGGGCTGCTTTAGGAGGGTAGTAAGTTCCTTCTCGATGAAGGTCTTTAAGGAAAGGCTGGATAACCACCATTTGTTGGGTAGGGCTTACTAGGATTCCTTTTGTTTATAGGTTGGATTAGGTTGCCACTGAGTTCTTTTTCAACTCTGAGATTCTGTGATCCTGTAAGACATTTCTATCACCTCCTACTCTAGCCAGAAGAAAACAAAAACGTCCCACGTGGATAATGGCTCTTGGTGGTTGGCCTGGTGAATAATAAAATCGGATCCAAAAATCTCTTCCCCCTGCCTCTTTTCTTTTCCCTCAAAAGAACTGCCACACGAAACTTTCTCAATTTCTTCCAACTTTCCTTCAATTTCAGCTCACACAATCACTTTTTCCAGGACGCATCTATATCCTCTTTAACTCCCTTCCTCTTTTTTTTCTTTTTCTCTTTGAAAATGTCCACAGTGACCTTGAGAAAATCTCTTCATGCCTCTTCTTCCCCAACCCCCCACCTAACACCTTTTTTTCTGTTCAATTTCAGACATGAGAAATAATGGCTAAGTGTGAGGCCCAGGCAGTGATACACCTGTACAAAGTAAAAGCTACGTGTTTTTAAATGGAATTAGATATAATAAAACTTCCCAAACCCTTGAAATTTCTCTTCTAAATCCCCACACTTTTCAATCTACCTTTATATCCTCCGTTGTTAAACCTACTTCTTCTCAAGCACCAATGCTCAAAATAATATTAAGTCATTTTATTGGTGTTTCTGTTTTGAGTAAATACTGTCATATTTTTGTCCTGTGGTATTATTTTTCATCACAATGTGCACTATTTTAGCTACATTAAATGGGTTAAATGCTTACAGGCTAGCATGGGAACTTAACCATTATAAATAAAACATTATTTCTATGAGGAAATGTGTTTGAAACAGCCAACTTAGAGTCTTTTAGAATATGATCTGCATGCAAGTCAAGTACTTCTCTATATCTCTTTTTAAAATTTATTTTATTCGCTATATCTTTTTAAGAAAACTATTTTTGTGATACCTTTTTAAAAAATAACTTTCACACCTCAAATCTACCTTTTTCGCAAATAGAACATTCCCTTGTAACAAAGAAATAGAGTTAAGGAAAACAAACCAGTATAATGGCCATGCTTGATAATGTATGCCTCATTCTGCAACTGTAGTTTACCACTTTTCCCCTAAGAGATAGTGGACATGTTTTATTTCCAGTCCTCTGAAGTGAAGATAGGTCACTGTGTTAATCAGAATTCTAATGTTTTTCAGTGTTGTTTTTCTTTACATTATTGTGGTCATTCACATGCCTTCTGCACAAAGAAAACTTTGAGGAGAGTCAATTGCAGGGTTCCTCCTTTGTCTAGACTTGTGATTTCATAGGTCTACATTATTCTGATCCTTCATGTATAACTGAGAGTTTTAGAGAGTTCCCTGGGAGGCACTTAGAGGTCTGGTGGCTTGCACAGGAACACACAGCCAGTACATGTCAGAGCTAGGACTTAAACACCAGCCGTTCATACTGTATAAATATTGGCCAGGTAAGCTAGGTGACACAGTGGATAGAGTGTTGGGCCTGGAGTCAGGAAGACTCACCTTCTTGAGTTCAAAGCTCGACTTAGACTATTAGTTGTGTGATCTTGGACAAATCACTTAACCCTGTTTGACTCAGTTTCCTCATCTGTAAAGTGAACTGGAGAAGGAAATGGCAAACAACTCCAGTATTTTTGCCAAGAAAACCCCCAATGGGGTCACGAAGAGTGGAACTTGACAGAAATGACTGAACAACAACAACAACAAATACCAGCCATCAGGATGATTATTATTCTGCTAAGTTATCTTGATAATGTGATCAGTTCAGGGTAGGTAAATAGTTAAACCTGAAGCAGAGACAAGCTTTGTCATATCTGGTGCTTGAGAGAGGCAGCTCAGTATAATGGGGAAAATATAAGATCTAGAATCAGGACACATGTGTAAGTCTCATCTTTGATGTTTCATAGAGGTATTATTGTGAGCAAGCCATTTATCTTCTCTGGGCCTTAGTTTTCTGATCTAAAAAATGGAGTTACTATGAAATGTACCAGCCACCTTATAGGACTGTTGTGAGACAACCTAAACTAAATCTGAATGAACAAGAGTAATAATTGTTTATTTTCTCCCCTCCCCCTCCAACCCCAGCACTTAGCACAGTGCCTGGCACATAGAAGCTGCTCAATAGATGTTTATTGATTGATCTGTTGATTTTCCTTCTCCCTTGAAAAGAAAGGTGAATTACAAGGTGTTTTCCAAAGATTCCTAATTGAATTTTTTTCCCTTCTCCTGTGGGTCCTAGATTGTTGGTGATGCAGTGGGATGGGGCTTTGTTGTAAGAGGAAGCAAGCCATGTCACATACAGGCTGTGGATCCCAGTGGCCCAGCAGCTGCAGCTGGAATGAAGGTATGTCTATCTTGTCTTTATCCTAATAGTCTTTTGTATCTACCTGTTGTTACAATTTCTATTTTGTATTGCTCTGTTGGGTCTCAAGTCTCTATGGCTTTATCACGTGCCCTAATATAGACATGGCTTTTTGTTCCATCCTGCTGCCCTCCTCAGCCTGCCCTTCACCTCACTCCTACACTCATGCTTCAGCCTCTTTGATGTCTAAGCTTTTCTTTTGGCAGAGCAACCTCTAAATGACTTGCTTTGGATTAGAAGCAGGAGTGGGGAACCTTCAGCCTTGAGGACACATGTGGCCCTCTAGATCCTCAAGTGCAGTTCTGTGAAGTTTGGATTCAGTCAAAGGGCGTAGAGGGTCACGTATGGTCTCGAGGCTGCAGGTTTAAAGGCATACATAAAAAATTTCAAGGGCAACATTATCTATTGCAGGAGTCAAAAAAGGCCCCTTATGGGAGAAAAAAACTGAGCTGAGCTTTGAGGGAAATAGGGTTTCTAAAGAGCAGAGGCAAGGAGATAGAATGTTTCAAACATTACAGCTTGTGCAAAGAAATGGAGAGAAGAAATTTAATGTCCACCCTACCGTTTCCACACTGTGCTGCCTGCGCTCTGGCTGTTATCTTCATCTCACACTGCCCTCCACCCTCCCAGCCCCCCGACCATGCCCCAGACTTTGGATTTGGCTCCAGAACTAGACCTTCACCCGAACTCCAACTCCAGGCCCAGCTCTCTATCCACTGTGTCACCTAGCTATGAGAGGTAGAGAGGGATTGATAACCTGGATAAGGGTGGTTTTAGTCCAAGAAGAGAGAAGGGGATGAATGGAAAGCATGTTACAGAAGAAAAATCAACAAGTGTTAGCAACTGATTGTATTTGGGAAGTGAGAGAGAATGATAGTTAAAGATAACTCCAAGATTGTGATGCAGATCTGAGTGACTGGAAGAATGGCCGTGCCTTCCAAAGAAATAGGGAAGTTAAGAAAAGGAGTGACTAAGGCTAATGAAGTTCTAGACATGGAGTTATCCAAATGGAAATGACCAGCAAGAAGTTGGAGATATAAGATTGAAATAAGAGGGAGAGACAGAAACAGAGATAGAGACACAGAGAGACAGGGACAGAAAGAGAGAGTAGTCAATCAGTAAACATTTATTAAGTACCTACCATGTGCCAGACATTGTGCTAAGTGCTGTTCAGATCTGGCCTCAGATACTTATTAGTTGTATAATTCTGGGCAAATCACCTGCCTCAATCTCCTCATCTGTTAAATGGGGACAATAATAGCAGCTACCTCCCAGGGTTATTGTGAGGACCAAATGAGATAGTAATTGTAAAACACTTAGCAGATATCTGGCACATAGGAAATGCTATATAAATGTTAGTTATGATTAGCTATTGCTTATGTAGATTTGGGAGTCTTCTGCATAGTGATGACAGCTGAATCTATGAGCACTTATGAGGTCACCAAGAAGAAAGAATATATATAGAAAAGTAAAGGACTGATGACCAAGCCTTGGGGCACACCCATCCATATGGAAATGAATGATGGCCCTAGTCAGGACAGAGGGGTGTCACCAAATCCCAGCGAGACAGTATGCAGAAGGAAGATTTTTTTCAACTATGTCACGTGCTACAGAGAGGTCAAGAAAGAGAAGCACTTATCATTCATTCCCCCTGCTCATCCTCCTGTGTGTATGCTAACACTCCAGGAATTGAAAGGACAGCAGCAGGTAAGAATTAAAAAGCAGCAGAGAGCGTGGTTGACGTCCCAGACCCAGAAGAGCGGGCCAGTCTTTTCCAGAAGCTCAATCTCACTCATTCTCTTGAAGGGCTGTGGAGTCCCCTGGGGAATACAACTCACTGGATGGTGGGGAGCCCTGCTGTGGGGGTGGGGAGAGCTGTGCAGAAGGATTATTGGCAGTGCGGGCTTGTCTTACAGTTCAGTGCCATCCCTGTGGCATTGTGGTGGTGGGCACAACACCAAAGAGACTTGAAGAAAGAAAATTGGCAGGAATTAAAAAAGGGTGAGAATTTGTCTGTGTGCCAGGACTGAACATTTCAATTTGTAATGGAACTCTTGGCCACAGGAAGGATTTTCTATTTTATTTCCACAGAGATGTACCTAGCAGCGTTTATTTTTGGAAGATTGCCGTGGTTTGTACTGTGCAGGTTCTTTGTTTATGAAACGTATGGTTGCTCATTTCTTTCACTTTAAGAGTATTTCCTTTCCTTTCCTTTCCACTGAGCTGGGTACTTATGGAAAGGCAAGGACTTATCCCTCAGTTAAATGTGTCTTTTCACTTAATTAAATTCACTTTGAGTAATATTTGTTGAGTGGCTGATGTAGTGGTGGTAAGCATTATCAATTGAATAATTACTGAATTTTAACCCTCAAATAGGACATGTAGTGTTGAGGAACTGAAGTAGAATGCTTTGAAAAGGGGCCCAATTCACCATACACTCCAAAGTCTAGTATGTGTCCTGCCTCAGACATTTACTGGCTATTTGACTTTGGGCTAGTCCCTTGACTACTCTGTCTCGGTTTTCTTCATTTGTAAAATGGGGATAATAATATCATCTACCTCACAGGGTTGTTATGAGGATCAAATGAGATAATATATATATAAAGTGCTTTCCATCCTTAAAGTGCTATGTAAGTGCTAGCTATTATTATTATTATAGATAGTTTTCTACACTATGGAGTTAGGCTAAATTTAGGTGCTTTTTTCTGAAATTATTGGATTTTTATTTTAATTTTTTGCCAAACATTCATTATTGGTGTAAGGGTAGGGGTCAATTAAGTCAATCAGTCAAGTTAACTCATCCCACTTAAAGTAAGTGTCAAATGCTAGACCCATTACTCAGAAAGTTTGGTTCAGATTGGTCAGGAAAATGTCCTTTGGGTCATCTGTACAATATTGAAGCCACTTCAGAACCAAAAGATTCAGGCGTTTGGAGTCTTCTGTTGAAAGCCTCCCTTGGGGGGAGGAGAAGAGTTCCAGCCTCAGGTCTTGGCCTCCATGTAAATCCCCACCCCGTTTGACCAGAAGAAGACCTTGTGAATTTAAGTGTCCTGGTCGTATACCTAGAATAGTGACTTCTAGTGTCAGTGCCTGAATCAAGGAGCTGAGGATGGACTGGATACCGAGAGGAAAGGCACATTCAAGAATCTACAAGAAGCCCTATAGAAAAGCTGTATCTTCCCTGAGGGAAATATCTTGAGAACTTCATCAAAAAGACTTCCTGGAGCTGTGAATTACCCCCATGCTGTATTGAACTCTCTAAGCTCGAGCCCCAATTTCCTCTGGACTTAGTGTGTACTTATGGAGAATGAATCACAGACATGGAGTTTTGTACAAATTGCTTTTACTGTGGCCACCTTAGTAAATACCTTTGAGACTAAAAGCTAATTACAGCTTACCAAGCAATTGATATCAACTGATAAGCATTGGGAGGGAACACACCAGTGGGGCCTCATAAACTATGTTGTTATTGTTGTTCAGTTGTATCTGTCTCTTTGTAACCCCATTGGGGGTTTTCTTGGCAGAGATAGTGAAGTGATTTGCCATTTCCTTCTCCACCTCATTTTACAGATGAGGAAACTGAGACAAACAGGGTTAAGTGACGTGCCTGGGGTCACACTCCTAATAAGTGTCTAAGGCCAGATTTGAATTCAGGAAGAGGAGTCTTCCTGACTCTAGGCCTGGCACTATGTCCACTGCACCACCTTGCTGTGGTATAGTTTTAGAACGACATTCCTCTCATCCTCCTAGACTCTAAAGGAACAAGTAGCCAATCTCTGGGGACCCAGCCTGCCGGGGTAAATGGGGGGTGTGAGAACAGCTTCAGAATCTGTGTTACAGTAAAATTTGGTTCAAATTTATGGAATTTAGCAACTCTATAAGAAGGAAGAAAGGAAGGAACGGAGGGAGGAAGGGAGCAAAAAAAGAGGGAGAGGGAAGAAGGAAAGAAAAGAGAAAGGAAGGAAGAAAAGAAGGAAAAGAGAGGAAGGAAGGAAAAAAAGAAAAAATCTAATTAACTTGAATTTTATTTACCATTCATAATTTCTTCCAGTTTTTCTAATATACTTGCAGTTATTCTGACATTATTATCATCATTCATGAGCACATGGACAGCTAGGTTGCTCAGTGGCTATTACACTAGATTTGAAGTTCGGAAAATCTGAGTTTGAACCTGGCCTTACCATCTGTGTGACCTTGGGCAAGTCACTTAATGTCTCTCAGCCTCAGGTTCCTCACCTGTAAAATAGAGATGATAATAGTACCTAACTCAAGCTCAGGCCATCATGAAGCCCCCTGTAAGGCGGCGCGCGGCTCCGGCGCGGTACCGAAGGTTGGCCCCGGCCGGGGTCCGCAGGGCCACGCTCTGGACCCCAGAAGACAAGCAGCAACTCCTCCGTTTACTGCAGGCACGAGACGGGGAGCAGGAACCCGAGGCTGTGGAGCCGAGGCAGGGGCTGCCCCTGCTGAGCAAGGCTGAGGTTCGGAGGCGGGGCCGAGGGGGAGGGGGCGGAGCATGGCCCGTGCCAGAAGGAGGACCGACAGTTGGAGACTGCTGTGGGGGCGGGGCTGGAGGAAAAGGAGAAGTGGGGGATGGGAGCTTAGGGAGGCTGAAGGAGAGGGCGGAGCAAAGACCAGAGCGAGGCTGTAGGGGCGGGGATGAAGGAAAGGGGCGGGGTTGAGTTGTGGAGGCACATGCTGGGCATGAGGCTGAGGGGAACGTCCATCAGTCCACCAGTCCTCTTTTATGAAGTGCCGAGTGTGTGCTAGACAGTGTGCTAAGCGCTGGGGGTACAAACAGAGGCAAAAGACAATCCATGCCCTCAAGGGGCTCACAGTACATAGCAAGGTGCCCTGCCCATAGGATATACTTAATAAATGTTTATTGAGTGAATGAATCTAATGAGGGAGACGATATGCAAATAAGTACCTAGAAAGGAAGCTGAGTACAAGATGAGCAGAAGACAGTTGACAGAGGGAAGTCA